AGGAACAAGCTGGGGACCTCTCCTTGGACCTGGGAACCCCTCTAAAGTTAAGTCTCTTGCCAACCCTAAAATGGCTCCCTTAATTAAGATATCTACTTCCCTGCTACCATATCCACCCTTCCTCCATCCCACCCATCCCATTACCCCAAGCTCTCCCGAATCCTCCCCTTCTCCCTTCTCCCACCCCATCTCCCCTTACACCCACCCCCACCCCCGTGCACCCAACTTTTGCCTGGCAATCTTGTCTACTTCCAATATCCAGGAAGATAACTGTATGATTTTCTTTGGATTCACCTTCTTATTTAGCTTCTCTGGGATCACGCATTATAGGCTCAATGTTCTTTCTCTATGGCTAGAATCCACTTATGAGTGAATACATACCATATTCATCTTTTGGTTTTGATTCTACTGCATGGACTGGCTTTGTGGGAGCCTGGTTTGTTTGGATGCTCACCTTCCTAGACCTGGATGGAGGGGGGAGGACCTTGGACTTCCCACGGGGCAGGGAACCCTGACTGCTCTTAGGACTGGAGAGGGAGGGGGAGGGGAAGTGGGGGAGTGGAAGGGAAATGGGAGGTGGGGGGGACGTGGAAATTTTTAATAAATAAAAAAAGAATGTACCCAAAAGACATGACACAAAATTTAAAATTTTGCCCTTTTAGTTTATTTATCCTGAAAGTTAAGCATTTATTTTAAATATTAGTTAGATGAACAGAATAGGCTTCCATAGGCTTGAAGGGAGCAGGCAAAAGCACCTTGTCCTAAGTACTGCCATTTTGACTTCAGACTTCATTTAACCTATAGGGTGAAATATGATTCAGGCTCCCATGTCTTGGGGAGCTCAGAACCTTCCAATAGCCGATCATCCCTAAACAACAGGAGTCTGTTATGCCCCTTAGTTCTCTAAGACATTATGGCTGTTCCTAAGAACAGGAAGAACAAATTAATCTGATTGGTTGGACTGAAAGGCTTGCATTCTGGGTCGGTTCACAATAATGGAATATGCAAAGAAAGACCCTAATCTTTGACTCCTGATTGTGAGAAGTGGAACTGTAACTTGGCACAGGTGTGTTTATGGTTTTGCGTTTATAAACCTGGCTTCTGTCCGTTTGGGGCTGCTCCTGTTCATCCTGCAGCCCTGATTGATCAGTGACTCTGCTTACGTAGTGATTTATTGAAGACTTTGCAACCCAAAAATGACTCTCTCCTTCCTTGTGGGGCACAATAGACATGAGTATAACATGCTAAATGACAAATACCCCAGTAAATTTAACCAGTATAAGCTTAGGTGCTTTATATCCTGGTTGCAATTGTTTTTGTACTAGAAGTTGAGTCTGTTTTAATTTTCCCCATGAAGGGGCTATTAAAAACAAACAAACAAAAAACAAATCAACAGAAAAAAAATTTCTAAGCTCTGGGGCATATCTGTTCTAGCCCATGTTGCAGGTGGCAGAGGCCCATCTGCCATTCCTTGTAACTCCGGTGTTGCATCAGAGACTGATCTCTGCATTTGGCCAACTACAAATGGTGGAAAGGAACCAGTACCACTTGTCATGAGAGGGCTCTAAGTTCCAGATTGCTTGGCAAGGCAAGCAGTGATGGAGTCTGTTCAGCCTGTCCTGCCAAGCCCCATGAAGATGTATAGAAATCTCTGTTTCTCTCTGTCTGTCTCTGTCTGTCTCTGTCTCTCTCTCTCTCTGTTTGTCTGTCTCTCTTCCCCTCCCGTGTGTTATTTTCCCACTCTTTCACTTAAAGTTGCGACCCCTTCGGTGAGAGGCCTAGAAATTTTACCTCCTACTTCTATTTAAAGGAAATTTTTCTTACTTTCTCCAAGGGTCCTGCCCCTCACATTGGGTTCCAGTTGTGAGGAATCCCTGAAAACAAATGCTACAGTCAGAGGAACAGTCCACAAGGTGCAAGAAGGAAATCTGGTGTTACATGAGTTAGTTTGTATTGGCTCATGCTTCTGGAGTTTTAGTTTTATAACATAGTAAAATTACATACAAAAACAGTTATCAAGTAAGAATTATAGTAACAATATCCAGTCTATTTGTATTTGACAAAATTAAAGAAAATACTCAATTATTTATCTTATCTTTGTGAGTCTAAAGTGTTATACCTAATTTACTTTTTATCATAACTAAGGAAAATTGTAATTTTAATTACTTAGGCTTTTACTTCCTCAAAGACTCCAGAAGGGCATAATGTCACCTAATGACAGGGACATCTAGATGCCTGGACAATCACCCAATTTTTTTTTGTAATGTTGGGGTATCCAGCTATGTCCTGTGGCCCTAGAATATCTGACAGACATTTTACTTTTTTGACATTCTGTTAGTCCAGTTTGGACTGTCAGAAATTGAGGCAAGGGCAGTTTTTTTGCCCAAATGGCTGGATTCTGCCATAAGGAAAGTAAACTCCATTTAGAGGTTCTTCAATGTCCATCATCTTCTTTGAAGTAAATTGGTGCTGACAGGAGCTGATATATCACACTGTCATGAAAAACCTTAGGTTATTAAACATATTAAATGCCATATTCTGTAGGTTTTTTGAAGTGTTTGAAGACCATCTATCTAAATATATTTGCATATGGCCTTGAAAACATACCTAACATGACTATAAATTTGACTATTATAGACCACTATGAATCTGTATTTCTTAATTATCCATTATATTTTTAAATGAGTTGCCTAAGCACAATACCCCAAACAAGAGCATAAACGTACATATGGTATAGCAAAAATAGCTTTAAATTTGTGTCAACAAACCAAAATCCATACCTGGTACTGGGAGCCTAACCAATTGTTCAGGGCTAGTGTGGTCATGGATGTTAGAAGAGAACCTACTGCTACCACATAACTAGACCAACACAATTCTTTTTAACTACAGTCTAAATAATTACCTTTATATCCACAGATAAGTATAGTTCTAACTCATCAGCAAAGCTTCTCTTTGGAGCAGATGAAGACCATTGCAGAGAACCACAACTGGTCAAAATATGAAAAACAACCAATAATAGGGTGTCCAGCCCCAGTAGATTCATAGGCAACACAAATTCTAAAATTTAAGTGTCAGGTCCAAAGGAAACTTCAATTCCCCAAACTCCAAAAGACAGTCCAAATATCCAGAAATGGACTCAATAGGAGGATTTCTGGTAGTTAGATAAAAGCCAGCATTCTTCAGGAACTTGTGAAACTAGCTCCCATTTGCCAAAAGGAGTCATTTCCCTTAGCTCTGGCAGAAGGGACATATGGCTACCTGTGGCAGTTACCTGCTTATCAAAGCCCATGCTGTCTACCAGGCTCTCTCAGTATCACAAGTACCTGTTACACATTTCAAAGTCCATGCTAGCATCCTAGCCCTTCTCACCTTGTCCCCCACCATTCACAGGCTTCCATCCCCCCAGATACTCATTCTCCTTATAACCCTGTTATCCTTGCTATTTTTCTCTCTCTGATCTGCCCCTGCTTGTTGTCTCTATTATCTATCCCTGATATTCTTCCCTCTCTATTGGATAGCCACGGCCATGGCCAGTTTGCTGGCCTTGTTCAGTCTACTTCATCACTCTGCTCTGGACTCTTCCAGATGCCCCTGGCTTTACTTTCCTCGGTATTTGAAATAAAACATTCCCTTCAAGCTGGGCAGTGGTGTTACAGGCCTTTAATCCTAGCACCCGGGAGGCAGAAGCAGATGGATCTCTGAGTTCTGAGTTCGAGACCAGCCTGGTCTACAGAGTGAGTTCCAGCACAGCCAGGGCAACACAGAGATGAACCCTGTCTTGAAAAGCCAAAAATAAATAAATAAATAAATAAATAAATAAATAAATAAATAAATAAATAAAACAAAACAAAACAAGAAAACCTTCCCCTCAACCATATGTTGGAGCAGTGATATCCTAAATGTATACAACTGTGAGCTACAATAATGACCTTCCTGGCAAGATATGCCAACTGGTGCAACAGTAGCAAGAATGTTATGGGAGTAGCCAACCACTTTCTGACTAGATTTAATACCTGCTACATGAGAGGGAGCACATACCTAGCACTGGGAATGAAGCCAGGAACATGTAGTTGGATAAGTAATGGGCCCTAAGGGAAAACGTAATACTTTTATTCTGCTAGGTGGACATAGCATTAAAATGACTCTTAATGCATCAGAGACTCTCTACTCCCATCAAAGAAGCTTCTTGCAGTAGATAACAGTTAACACGGAAACCCACAACAGGTCAACATGCAGAGAATAAGACTTATGAATCTTCATCCTTAAATAGGATTTCTGCCTCACACCGTTCTACTCAAGGCTCAGGGGTCATGGCAGAAGATGGGTGCAAAGATGATAAGAGCCAGAGGTGGTATATGGGCTCAAAACCAGTTTTATCTGGACGGAACAGGGCAGATGCACATATGAACTCACAGAGATTGTGATAGTGCGTGCAAGACCTGCACAAGCTCAAGCCAGACAAAATACCAGGATAGAGATGGGGAGAGGTGGCCTGGATTCTCACTCCTAGCTGAGGAACTATTGGCATTTAATAACTGCCGGGAAGAGAGGCTGTGTTCTTTAATGCTGTGACCTCCGGTAGTTCAACTACTCCTCAGGGAAGCCACCATATCCTACAGTAGTTGACCAAGACAAATGGGACTCTAAGGTTTCTAAGGCAGGGAACATGAAGTTGCGTGGGTAGGGAACATGAAGAGACAGAGGGGTGGATCTAGGAAAAGCTAAGGGAGGTGCAGTGACTATAATAATAATAATAATAAAAACCACTGTGTTAAAGTCCCAAACAATTAAAATACTGTTTTAAGAAAACAGTAAAACAAATGTCTTACCGAGATAGAACTTTCCATGGGAATATATTACCTACTTCTTTAAATTGTTGTTTATGATAGGCAATATTTGATTCTAGCACTTGGGAGGCAAAGGCATACCAATGTCTATGAGTTAGAGGCCTGCCTGGTCTACAGAGTAAGTTTCAGGACAGCAAGATCTACGTAGTGAAACCCTGTCTCAAAAATAACAACAAAATACTTAATATCCTAAAATTATAGTTCCCTCCAACTTATTTCAATTCCTTGACTGTAGGGCTGGTTTTTTTTTTGCACACTTGGGTTTTTAATTTTTTTTAGCAGACAATACACACTTCCCTTACCCTTTAAGTTGGTGTGACAATCTTCCATAATAAACTACTTAAAGAGATACTTTGGTCAAAAATGGAATGAGATAGCAAAATCAAAACAAAATGAAAAGATAAGAAAAAACAAAAAAGAAACCCCTGCTGTCTTTAAAACCCACACGTCACCCACAACATCCACACGAACACACTCTAGTTGCTTAATAATGTGACAGTGTTACCACGGACCGGCGGTCCTCACCAACATGCCAACGGCAGAGTGTGCGCAGTCCCTTCTGTCCTTCATGCTGGATGGCAGAGGCTTGGTCAGCTTCTCATTATCCAGAGGCCCTGGAAGCAAGACTCCAGGGTCTTGAAATCCCAAATTGTCATGGCTCCATCGATGCCAGTAGTGCAAAATTTTCGATAGTCTTGCTTGTCCACCTCATAAATAGACACCCGAGTGATGTTGTTCTGGTGCGGTGTCTCCAAGGCTGTGTTGCAGTCCTCAATTGTGGCTCTCCTGTCCATGTTGCAGAAGCATTCCATGGCAGACATTTTGCACTGGATGCTCTGTTTTGGGACGTCTAGTTTGGACACAAAGGTCAAACAGCCACGGTCACCATAGTTAAATAGCATCAGGCAGCAGTCGTGGCCAGCGGCCACAACGCTGTTCTCTGAGACGAACAACACACTCAGCAGTGGCAGGAACTCCGTTTTCAGAGTAGAAACCTGCACACTTTTTGAGGCATCAGCAATGGACACAGCGCTGTCATGGCTGACCCAGGCCAGGCGACTCCCACTGGCAGAGAAGCTGACACCATGCACCCATGCACGCTGGTGCCACTGCCACCAAATTCAGATATCAGCTGACCAGAAGGCATCTTGCTGCCCCAGGGAGTGCTGGCTGGCTTCTCTCATCCACCTCTTTGATGTAGGCAGAAAACACTCTGCACTTGAAGTCACGTGAGCCTTCAGCCAGAAAAACGTTGTTGGGATGCCAGTTCAAGCTGAGGACTGTGGAACGAAGTGGCTTCTTAATGTGCTTGCTCACCCACGAGTCATTTCCAGACTCAAAGTAACAAACAGAGATGAGCCGCGCCCCACTCCCCACAGCAAACTTATTCTCAGGTGGAGACCACTTCACAAAAGTGGCTGCGCGGTTTTAATCCTCAGGATCACCAGGGTATGCTTCCAGATGCCTCTAGACGTACGCGTTTCGGTCCACCCCACAAGTGACGATGCTGTCGCTCTTAGGATCCCAGTCAATACCTGTGATGTGTCCATTATGTTCCTTCAGCTCATGAGCTTTCGTGCACTGGCTCCCATTTTTCTTGTAGATGTGCACTTCATGATTATTGGGGCTAAGGGCAATCTGGGTACGATCCCTGTTCCAAGCGTGACAGGTGATTGGCTCTAGCAGAAACGGATGCAGAGACATGATTCTTAAGTGTTTTCAAAAGTTAGAAAGCATGTTCCCAAGAGTGTTGAGTATTTGAATGAGGCCAGAAACAAACAAATCCTAGCCTTCAAGTATGAGGAAAGAGAGAGAAAAGGCAAGGAAGGCAGGTATTCGTAGAATGTCTAAGACGCATTAGTAATGGCTATTATTTATTTTCATTATTATTTGAGCAGCTACTCTTGAACCTAATAAAAGCCAAGTAGACGAAGAATCTTCTTACTGCAGCTGTAGAAACCGAGACACCGAGAATCAACCTTCCCAGAGTCACCCGACAAAGTGACAGAGTCAAATGAGAACTTTGGTGGTCCTACATAAAGGAATTTATACAATGAATAGGAACGCAGAGAAGGGTGCAACTTTGGCGGGAGGTGGGGGTGGAACCGAAGAATCTTAAGATTACTCGGAAAGATGGCTTTTCTCTTGTTGGGAAGGGTCCCCCAATAACTGACGGATCACAGGCTGCTTTAGACAACACCCTGGGGTCGGGGCGGTCCTTAGGGTCTGAGGGGAGATTCGTGAACTCTGTTCAGTCGATGCGAACAGGCTCTGGCGGGCGACGATGGAGGAGGGAGGCCCAGAGGGAGCGCCTGATAGATCTTGGAAGTTAAGATCTATTTTATTGTATCCAATTAATACTTGGATGGTTTCTAAGACTGCCCTGCTTGATGTGAGGAATTTAGTTGAACGCTGAATTTTAAAATAAGTTCCTCTTAAAGTTTTTATGCAACTAGAGACGTCTGAAATGTACTTCTTACTATTAAAAGAAACATTGTATAGCTTTTATTCTATACTATAGAAGTTCTAAATTATCTGAAAATAGTTTCAAAAGTTGCAGCTACAAATTTAAGAAGACAACGTCTATAAAGAATGCATATATAGTCACACAAAAGAATATTTTATTTTCTTCTAGTTATTCTCAGTAACCAGCAATAGGGGAAGAGAAAAAAAGAGCCCAGCCAGCCCTTTGGCTCATTAGTTAGACAATCCTGCCCCCTAGAGGCATAGTAAGGAAAAACAGAGCATGAATTCCCTATTCCTAGTGAGAAGCTTGTTTAATTTTATTGGTAATCATGGATCTTATTACCTGAGAATGTTCTCAGTGCTGACACGAAAAGATCACTCAAGTCATATTAGATTAATACAACAAGTAACTGTGATTGTGTGATGAATCCCACGAACCAGCTTCTTTAGGAAAGTAAAGAACCCTGGGAAGAAATCAAAAGCCCCCACAGAGCACTGTGTCTGCATCCCAGGAGCTCCGGGTCCATCCTCTCCACACTTCCATTGCACATACGAAAGGACAGCTATGTAAGGGAATGCTTTTCTGTGGTTTCATCTTGTGTCAGATATGTATTCTAGCCCTAATTTTGCCATTCGGCAGTTATTAAAGTCAGAGTGCTGTGATCCCATGTCTAAGACACTCAGAACAGCTCTCATCTCAGGATAAATTCTCCTGTCCTTTCCTTGCCTTGTGAAACCCCCCAAACTGCCCCACTGCTTCAGCTTTTACTGATTTTCCTCTTCAGCCCCGCCTCTTTTCTTCCTTCCAAATAATGAGCCAGACTCTTTCCCAGAGGCTTCTTTAGATGTCCTGTCTCCTTTCATTTGGTCAGACAGCAATCTGTGTCAACTTAAAAAGGACTCAATCACAACATCACATTTGGTTCCCTTTACCTCACCATCTGAATTTGTATTTAGCATGTTGGCATGCCTGTGGAAGTTCTGGGGTGGTTAGATGGGGCAGCCAGCAGACAAACTACCCTCTGGAGAAACTTAAATTACACAGACAAAGAGGTGGGAGGCCTGGGCCACCCCAGGGGTCCAAGCTCACCGGAGCCATCCAGGGAAGTCTGCTGCTTCTGCAGGGCCCGCTGGGATTCTGGTGCGTGGTCCGAGGGGTGGGAACTTGGGCCTGGCCGGCCGAGAGAGGCTGCAGTTGGCCACTCCGATGCGTCTTCACAGCTTCTGGTTCCCTTTGACTCTGGGCAGCTGAGGGGTGGATGCAGCAGTAGCCACAGCTTCGTGCTGCTGCTGTCAGTGTATGACCTCGGCTATCTGGGACTGATCTTCAGTTGGGTGCTGTTGGCGCTTGGGCTTCTAGCCTGGCATCGTTAAAGTCACGACCTCGAGGTCAGTCACCTGTGTTGTGCGCTGGCGCTGTGGGGTGACTAGGAGCGAGCTGTGCACCTGGGGGTGCGAGCCTGCAATCTGCATGCCTGAGTTTATTTTCCAGACACCGAGAACGTAGAATGGCTTAATAGTATGGTTAAGCACATGGAGCCCTTTATTTGTCATTTTATAGAGAAATTTTCAAGAAACCATTGGAAGCAGCTGTGTAGGGAGCAAATGCCCATCTCAGCACCTTCAGCTTCACAAAAGTGAACCCTTTATTTGTCATTTTATAGAGAAATTTTCAAGAAACCATTGGAAGCAGCTGTGTAGGGAGCAAATGCCCATCTCAGCACCTTCAGCTTCACAAAAGTGAACACGGGTCAGCAACCCCTCAGAGTCAATGGTGTTAAGGTTTATACTAAAAATGTAGACAAAAGACAAATTATTCTGAATCTTCAGATTAGTCTTGCAGGAAATTGTGAGACTGATTTGGAGATCAAACGATATTTTTGTAGAGCTGGAATGAAAAGAATTCAGATTTGTGGGACAATGTGGATGATCCTGGAGCCCTTGACTGGTGACATGCCTTTCGCTGGAGCACTGTCCATCTTCCTTAGGAAACCAAAAGGCTGGAGCACTGTCCGTCTTCCTTAGGAACCCACTTTTAGGGATTAACTAGACAGGACTGACTAATCTCCTAGACATCCCTGGGCTGAATGCTTTATCAGATACTATCATTTTGGATATAATATCAAATTAATTGACAATCACTTGTCAAAAGCCAAGATCCTAGCTGGGTTCCCCACACTTCCAATAAAGATACAGCCCCATGCAGTCCCCACCTCCATTCCCACCCCTCACATCACACTGATCTTTTCAGATTCCAATAAAAACTCAGGGGACTGAGTGTTGGTATCTGCCACATATTAGATCTCACTACATAAACATCTATATCTCTTTACTTCTCAGAAAAGTCATAGTCCTGGCTTAATTAAAAATCAAAGCTGGCTTTGAAGTTGGAGTGTGGCTCTCTTCTTCTCTAAATCCAAGCAAGCTGTTAGAAGAAAAATTCAGAGTTTTTGTTTCATGTCAGAAGAGTCACCTGGTGTAGAACAGAAGAAAACCAAAAATCTAGGGACTATTGTTGTCAAAACTGTTATCTCCCCAAACTTCTATTTCTCCCCTTACTTATTTTTGACTCTTTAGTACTTTTTTTGACTGAGTTACTTAAGTATATTTTGACAAAATATAATAATAGATGGATGATAGATAGATGGGTGATAGATAAATAGATGACAGATAGATAATAGATGTGACATATATTCAGTAGAATATTGTTACATTTTAATATCTTTATCTTATTTTTAATTATTTGTAAGTATATGTGTGTTGATGTGTCTGCATATATTGCCCTGCCTATTCCTTTCAACAATTCAATAACTTTCTGGGGTCCTGGAAGATTTCCCTTAACATTGGCATACCCTACAATCCACAGGGGCAAGCCATTGTGGAAAGGACCAGAACTCTTAAGGAGCTGTTGACCAGGACTATCTCACCAGACCTTAACAGAGATCCTTTTCATATGACTTTCTCAGCTTTGATGACAAGGGGTTCAGCCCAGCTTACAAACACTGGGCATCTCTGCCAAGGAACATACCCCTCGCCCCTGGTGATATGGAGAGATCCTCTCTCCCTCCAATGGCAGCCACCAGCCCCCTGCTAACCCTTGGGAGAGGGTGTACTTGTGTTTTTCCTCAGATTGCCACAACACCAATATGGGTCCTGGCCATTGATCAGCCTGCTTCTACCAAGGAGGGATTAATTCAGGATGGGTAATATATATACTCCCCTTTCTTGCTCTCATAGGCCCCCCTAACAAATTGATTTATTAAGGGCGGATGTTATAGCCTTTGACTACTCATTTTTTGAAAAAGTTTGGCATAACATAAAAGGCTATTGGATCCATCCTGGATGTTCACATATGCATTAACTGATGGGGTGGTTTTGTTAACCTTTATTCACCTTAAATGTCTCATGCAGCAGATCCAACATCAGTGCACAGCAACTAAGGGGACTCTTCAGTTGGTAATGGTTCTTAGGCATCCTTCTGGCAGTCTTCCACAGGAGGTCATGCATGCCTGGTTATTTGTAATTCAAAAGGCCACTGTCTAGTCCCCCAACCCTGGCAGCTCTCAAGGAATGAATGCTCTTCAACGGCTTGTAGTCAATGACAACCACGAGCTTGCTTGGCAGGCCAACGTAAGACAGGCACAGTCCAGTTGCTGAGCCTTCCTGAGGCGGGGTCAACAGGGCTGAGCAAAGAAGTCTGGCTCTCACTGAGTGCCCTCTGTAATAAATAAAAAAAAGGGTGGACATGAGGCCGCTCTGCAATGCTTACAGGAAGCAGCCGACCGAGGGAATGTCTACGCCCAGGGGACTTTCGTGGAGTACTACTACAAGATGAAGTTGTTTTTTTTTTTTTTTTTTTTTTACCAAGTGTGTTGCATTTTCCAAAAGGATAGTGGACTACGATGAGGTTCACGACATCCCCATGATAGCACACGTTACGGACTGTCTCCCAGAGTTTATCAGCAAAGACCATGGCCTCTTTCTGCTACGCACGGTGTCTCCAGCTCAGGTTGGGCATTACGAAAGATGAAGCATCTGCCAAGCACTATTACTCGAAGGCTTGCCATCTGAACCCTGCGTTGGCAGATGAGCTTCACTCCCTGCTTATTCGTCAAAGGATTTCGACCACAATGCATTTCAACAGAGACCGTCCATCCTTACATGAAGCAGCATGCACATGCTTACAGCAGCTACGGGTGTTATTTTCTGCATCCCCATTCTATTATCCGGGGTATTTTACAGAAATGTCTCCTTCATTCTTATATTTGTACAAACCAAACTTTAGACACCAATCGAATTGCTGGAAAGAGTCCTCAGAGGTCACCTCTTAGCC